GGTGGACGGGGTAGGTGTGGAGGAAAAGAATCAGAAATAGCGGGGTGAGAGCAGGGATCGGGCAAGAAGGATAAAGGACGAGAAACGATGAGGGGGGAGGCTTTTGCAGCGGTGAATGTGCGTCCCGGGCAAAAGGGCTCCGGGATTCGAGCGAAAGTGTTTATGACAAGGGGGGAGGTTCGGGTGTTGTGCCGGCGGGGCGAAGAGGTTGAAACGGAAAATGGGGTTGCACTGAGCGCGCGCGCACGCACGCACGCACACAGACGCGCACACGCACTCATGTACGCACGTACGCATACACGCACTGATCGATGGTGACCGGCGGGAGTGTAAGGGTGAGCGAAGGCTGGAGCTTATGATGGAAAGGGAGGGTAGAAGGATGACTCAAAACACGGTCGAATGACTCATCGCGCACCGCGCGACCCCCACTGCCACTGATGCTATATTATTGTCGGTGGGCCGCACGTGGCGTAGGGTATTTTTTTTCTTTTCTTCCACTCTCTCTTTTTTTTTTTTTAGGCATTTTAACGGGGGGGGGGGGGGGGTGTCCTTCGCAAATATATATATATATATATATATATATGTATTTACTCATATATATATATATATATACGGTGCACCGTACATGGTCGAGTGGAGAAGGAAGGGGTAGGCTCGTTTATAATGGCTTAACGAGCAGGACAACGGTGTGCGCCGGACGACAAAATATACTGTATAATACGTATAAAACACGAAATATATACGCGTACGACGCATATAATCATTATTATAGCATTATAGCAATCGACGCGTTCCGAATACATTTGGCGCGTGCAGGATCTGATTACGCGAAAAACGATAGCGGGTTGGCGGGCGGAGGGGAAAGGCCCAGTCGGAACGACGATCGCGTATCTTCTTCGGGACATGTGAGTAGATGACGTCCAACCCGTCCAGTAGGTTTGATGAATCCGCGAGTTCTGTCCGACGAGCCGAAGTGAAGCGAAACATTAGATTTCACCTGCTAGTGGTATAACACCAATTAACCGCAATGATATACCTCGACAATGTGTACGCGCGTACGGGAAAATTGCGCTCCCGAACATCCCTGGAATATGTGTAGAAAAAAAAGGAGAAAAAAAGCAGACGGACCGTTTACTGAGGGTGTATTCTCTACACTCGCTCCGCCGGCCTCCGTCCGTTGAGTTGACGTCGTCAGCGACGCGCATGACGATAATTTGTCGCGTGTTTCCATAGCCTGCCGGCCACGAGTTGCGTGATGTACAAAAAAAAACCAAAAACGTTCCGTGAAGGCTCGCGAACGGGCAGCGGCAGCGCGTCTCTCGTTTTCCGCCACCGCCTCCAATGAATAACGTCGGTGCGCGCGTCGGAGGGCTACCGATTTACGTGTACTTCGTACGACCAATCCGGACGAGCGAACGACGGCCGTCGGTTCGACGATAATAATAGAAAATAATGCCGATCTAACATTGACGGCGGTGGGTCTCCGTATCCGTTCGCCTGTGCATACCGGAATGCGATACGAATTAAATTCTCGATTTATGCAAGAGCAGATCCAGGATTATAGGAGGGTGGGGGTTCGTTAAAAAAAAAAAAATATACATACTGGAATCGTACTCATTTATGTTCGCGCGTATTGTTCCGATTGATGTTGAGGACTTATGCATGGATAGATTGTCGTTTTATATTATATGTACATTTTTTATTTTTAACTCGGAAAAATTTCGACTAACACATCAATTCAAAGGTATCCGAAATATTGAAAATATCCAAATGGTTAGTAACCTGACCACTGGTCGGAAAAAAGTTAGAAAAGAATATCTATACCTGCGTGTACAAACGGTTATACTGTTCGATATGCTGGACATTATAAAAACGACAGTGAATTCAATACTTTCGGAATTAGTTTCGTATAAGGATTTATTTTTCTATTTTATTGCAGTTTCTTTGGGATTTAACGTGATGCATATTTAAATCAAGATTATTCAAACCAGGATTAAAAAATAATAACGTTTTTTTCTTAAAACAGTTCGAGTACACGTTTAACCGTAATAATACACGAAAAGTTACATTATTTTATATTGGAATTTTTACTACGTATACACATCATCAAAATATAATCAACCAGAAAACGGCGAGCCTAGGCAGTATGTAGCACGCACGGCAGTTTTTGTGGGACCATGTATACACACCAAATAAACACGTATAAGTTTTTAAAGTTTATACAAGGGAAACTGTGTTGCACGCCCTGTATTATATTTTGTATCTAAATGCTGTGTAATTTGTAATTTTCTAATGCACACTCGAGAACGATGTCAACAGCCTGTGTATAGGGATTTCCTCAATTATTTAAATATTAGTTGACAAACACGTTGTGTTTAAAATGTTTTATTTGTTTGGTAAAAATATGTTTTAGCGTGTTTCATTTATCATATTTAAAACCAATTGTTTATGTCATCAGTGAATTATGTAAATAATAAAATCAAAATTATATTATATACGATTTAATGTTCATCATTCTAAACTGTAATACAAAACAAAAAATTCCATTAAAAGTGTTGAAATATTAGAAACATTTATTATACAAGCTCGCTTTTACTCACAGGGGAATTAATTTACTTTTTATAATATTACAGAAATTCAAAAGAGACTTCGATTTAATATTATATATATACTAATATATAAGTACTAATATCTCTATAATTTTTTTTCATCACATTATATCATTATTGCAAATTTTTTATGATTTAAAATTTTTTTTTTTTGCATCCGTGGAACATTTTTAATTTAAAATTATATCCGAAAAGAAATAATACATAAATTAGATTTATAATAGTTTTTACAAAAATGTATGTCGAATAAAACATTTTCGAAATAATTTTAAATAAAAAAATTTTGTTGAGTTATTATACTATATATAAATATAAATAGATAAAAAATATTAAAATATTGCTTAAATGTAGAGTATAAAATAGATTTTTAATATGCATATTATGTAAACATGATTATATTTTGGTTCCTAAATTGTGTTTTATTTAAACACGCTGATATTAAATAACGAAATTATAATATTATACCAGTTTCTATTTGAAAGTTAATATAATTTATTTAAAATAAATTAAACTACTTAATTGCGCACAATTTTGTTACTCACATTCGTTTTTCGTAAGGATATTCTAATCGCATGGTTTTATCCAGATTTAGATGGTTTTTTTTTAGACGGAAGAGACGGAAATCTCAATTACGAATTGCGTATGCGAGAAGCAGCGGTTATCGAGCACCTGCGGGTTTTTAGAATTACGTTTTGTTATAATATAATTTTGTAAAATTAATTTTTCTTCAATTTCACTTCCCAGCGTGTACCACAATAGGGAAAACGAAAATGTATTATAACTCAATGCGCGTTCATCAGTACATAGACATTTAATACTATTCGAAATCTAAACGTTATTATTTTTATTATTATTATTATTATTATTATTGTTGTTGTTATTATTATTATTTTTAATATGATCACAAAAACATAATAATTCATATTGTAATAATGCTGGATGATGAATTCATACACATAACGCAGCGTATTGCAGAATCAGCGTTGGTGAGATTATGAGCGAAGGGGAGTTCCGAAAAAGTTTCGACAGTACTTGTAGGGTGGTAGTAGTGATTCCAAAACCTCAATAGTGTATTCCATTGTTTTTTTTTTCCATGCATAACCCGGTTGTTTTGGTTCCCCTCGTATGGTGCAAAATCGTAAAAAATTTAAAATAAAAAAGACGAAGAGTATATGCGGGATATACCTATTCAATCTATTGCTAATAACGAAAGTAACACTGCATCCATATAAAGACGAACAGATGTATTGAGATTCAGTCGAACGCAAGAAAAACTTCAAATAACTCCTGCAGACGATCGGAAGTTTTTAGATCGTTAAAGAGAGAGAGAGAGAGAGAGGGATGGTTTATAGTGAACATTGTAGTGATGGGTTGTCTCAATGTATATATTCCTCTTTGAAATCCATGAGTATTTTCACCAAACTTTCATTCGACATCGAATAAATTTGCATCGAAAAAAAAAATTACGGTTTAGCAAAAAGTTTTATCGTTTTTATTTTTCAAACTGTATCTTCCTTTTTCTTTTAAAACTATTGAATGATTCTCACTTATTACTGACAAAATCGTGTGCTAACTACGCAATCCACAAATTATCGTATAAATTAGTTTCAAAACAAAAGATCACACACACCAAACACACGTTCAAAATGTCCAAAAATTAAATAAAAAAAAATCAAATATTACTAAATTTTTGTTTGAAATGTTTGGTTTAATATTATTTTTAGAATTGCAAAACACTCAAGCCTTACTAAAAACCTCCAAACTCAGAAACTTTTTTTTTTTAATATGATTTACTTGAATATATACTGGTTTCTTAATTCGTTTCATCCAGAACATCCGCTACTCCTAAATCAGGTTCTATATTCCACAAACCCAAAACGGAGCCTGTAAATAATAACTTCTGACCAATTGCATTTTTAAATGGTATTAAATAACGACTACAATATTTATTTATTTTTCATGTATCTTTTAATATTTATTGTTAAATGATTATTAAAATAAATAAAACTTGACCGAAAACATAACATTGCGTGCCTATGAAGATTGTTGCACGAATTTGGTCTAAAACCAAACCCTTGTTTGATTATATTATTTTATTGATATAGCCAACTAACTATTACATAATTAGTAGTTACTTAGAAAACTGATAATTTTTAAAAGTATAAATAATATGTCACAATTTTTTTTATTTTTTTTTTGATTTTAATTTACTACAGTAGTAGTAATTTACTTATTTTGTGGACCAACATTTCTGTTGTTTTTACTTCGTGAGTCTATGAATGTTATGTATAAAAATGTATTATATATATTATGTATATTTTTCAGATACAATAGCGTAAAGATAAAATAAATAATTGTGCAAAAGCATAGATGAAAATTAAATTGACTTACCCAAATTGGCTTGGTATCACAGCAGAGTATCCAGCTCTTATACTAGGAAAAGCGAATGCTGAAACACAGATAAAATTCTTGTTAATTAATCGAGCATACTAATAATTTTGTATAACGCATTGTGAAATATTACACTACCCGCACCCACTCGTTTATCGGTATTTCATACGTACAGGGTATAAATAGCAAAGAAACTAATATATTATATGCCAGAAAGAGAAACCTTATTTATTAAATTCGTACATTCTCACGCGGAGGGATCGGTTACGCACAAAAGGCTGTAGAGGTGTATGAAATTATAATAACGACTAATGATAATACTGAACATAAAATGTTTTGTTCAACAACATAAAAGTGTACACTATTAGGTACTAAACGTGTCATCTTGATGGTTTTTAATAAATATTTTGTGTTAATTATACGAGTACATAAATTACATTTATATAATTTTTGTTTTTGGTTTTACCATTTAATTACTTAAACTTTTATAATTAAAAATAAAATTATATTCTATATATGTTAGATTGTTATTACGGAAACGGGGAGTCAACATTATAAGTATACTTCTAACTATTGATTTTCTACACATAACCCTTACTTTCGACTATAGATTCTTACAAAAGTAATTTTTCGAATAGAAATCACTATGTACAACGTGTAAAAAATATATTTGAATTTCAAAACAATTTCTTTGATTTTAATTGCACGTGTTAAATGATTAATTTTCGTTGGAAACTAACTTATTATTTTGAGAAGTAATTTTAGTATTTGATGTTGAAGAATTTAACTGTTTAAAATAGAATTGTTAATAAATAAAAAAAAATGTCTTTGTAGCTTGAGGACATAAACTACTCATAAACTACACTACAGTTACATAGTAATTATTAATTAAATAAAATACAAGATGAATAATTATAATTTTACGAGTATAAGACCACCCCCATAAAAATTCATATTACAAATTTTCATTTTAGTATAATTAAACATTTTAACTTTAAGAAAAAATGAGAAAAATGTTCAAGAGTATGAAAAAAAAAGAGTTTTTAACAAAAAAATGAACAATTATTATTTCAACTTAGCGGTCAGAATATTTTTATCCTGTCTTCGAATTATGCAATCGTTAGAGGTCCATGTGCTAATATAGAGAATACCTATTTACGCGGTGGGAGGCGTGGGACTGAACTACTTACAATGGCTTCTTCGTGATTTTATTAAGCTTGTGCTGGGGTTTAAAAAATCGTTTCGTTTATTCATTGTATATTTTCGTACATTTGAGTTTAAAATCGTACCGTTCAAAATATTCATAGCAACCATCGATCATTTCGATTTTCGATAAATTTCAAATTGTATCATTGTAAATATATTTAAAAAAAAAAAAAAAAATATTTTTTTTGTCAACTGTTTTATGCGTTCAATAGATGTACATAGTTAAGTGTTTGCTAATTCTGTTTGAAACGAGATACTATCGGTGAAAAATCTAGTCAATACGCACCCGGTTAGCAATCCCATCACCCTTGAGATCAAGAAATATTTACGAATAAATAAATATGATATTATAATTCGGAATGGCAAACGACAGACGATATTTTATTATTATGAAACGAAATGGTCGCAAAAAAAAATGATCTTGTAATGCGTACGACATCGGTACGAACGAACGGAAAAATCTGAATCATGAGCACATGTGTTAAGTTGAGTGTATTTGGCAGCGACGTTCGTGTGACCTGTTGGAGAGTTAGTAGGTATGTATGATCACCGTCAGCCACCGCAGCGTAATAATAAAGTCACTCGGTATAAAGTGTAGTGCTGTTGACAAAAAAAAAAAAAAAAAAAATAATAATAATAATAACACGTTGTCGGTTGTTGTAAAAATAGCCGAAACCCGTTGCCAAGCACTTGTGGCCACTGGAAGGAATGGCGCGGTGTTATTTCTAGGGATACGAAAATCCGAGTTCTGCGCCACAGATATTTGTTTGACAAACAAAAAAAAAAAAAAAAAAAACCAAAAAACATGTATTGAAAACAGTCCAAATGTATAACGACAATATTAATAATAATTATAATAACGTAATGTTGTTCGTAGCGCAGTCGTGTGCGGACGTAACCTCCAAAACGACAACGTTTATAAATATGCACGCGCACACGCGTATGAAAGAATATACGAGAGCAGTCGAAATGTTTTTAAGCTTAAAATAAATAGGACAATCGATAGATTTTCAGTTATTATAACATAACGGTGTGTACGTAGTGTAAAATGTTATGCGCGCAGAGCGGTTGTACGCGTATTATAATTCGCTGCAGCGGTGACAACCGATACAGTTCGGTTTTAATTTATTAATAGCGAAGGCCAAGGAGACAAACGAACATGCAGACGTACATGTGCTAAACACTCTCGTTCAAACAAATGCATACACGCACACACACGCACACACGTACACAACGACCATTATATTATAATGCGCTCTGCAGAGCGGGGCGGAAACATGTAATGAAATATGATTTTCTGGTATATTTTGTTATGTAAATTTTATTAAGGGCACGGTAAAACGATAACCGTAGGTATTTTAGGTGTATTACTGCGAATTTGCACGTGCAACTGGTTGACACGCGTTCCATTCGGTTTCGTCTACATTAACTGCATTTAAACGCGATCGTTTTGTTATAGAATATTTGCACCGGCAATACGTAAAATGTTTATAAATATACCTACACGTTTACGAAGGAATATATATTTATTTTTTTAATTTTTTTTTCCGTCGCGAAGCGAAAAAAAAAAATGAAAAAAAAACTTCAAACGTTTTAACGATCGGACGTGTACGCACGTTGGCTGCGCAGATATGCGCCAGGTTTAAATATAGACATATTTTTAACTGCGTGGAAGCGTATATATGGTAGGTGTCAGTTGTCACATGGCGCAGGCCAATGTTTCTTGTACGGAGCGTTTCTTGAAATAAACTCTCGGTCCAAAATAAATTGGACTCCGCTCAAGTGGCTCAGGTGAACCGTTCCGAGTTGCCTCTCGATCGAACGTGTAGCAAAATTTAACGAAACGTGTCCGGCCGCAAAGTACGTTGCAAACGGACGAGGAGTTAAGCGAAAAGAGTACGCGCGTGTACTGGAATCGGTTGTCGAATAATTATTATCGCGTCGAGTTCATAAATAAAACGAACGTATTAGCATAGATTTTCATCGACTATGGTTTACTGCTGTTTATATCCGTACGCGGTACGACAAATGGTCGATAGGTATTGTACCGCGGTCCGACAATCGAATTCAAATATGACACATCGAAATGCAGTGGACATTACGATTACGGATTACGATTAAAATCCGTATGGACTTCAATCGTTTCTGCGGTGTACATCTTTCAGTAAAAATAAAAATATTTATTTGTAACGGATAGAGAACTTTAAAAAAAAGAAAAATAATAAGTATAGTTGTCTTACCAAGTTTTTTTCGATGATCATGTTTCGAGTGTATTTAATTTATAATGTTTTATACGATAAAACTCTACGGGTAATAATAATTTTTACAGTTTTTATTGAACACAATTATTTTCAATTATCATGAACGATGTTATTAATCAAACAATTATAGATATTGTTGCTTAATTTTCCAAGTTTATTTTTTTTTATTTTGCTTTTGACCTTTAATTACGTTTGACTTCACGTATTATATAATACTGATATACGTATAACGTTTGTATGATATATTTGCTTTTGACCATGTTGTATTGATAATGAATATAAATCAATCAACAATTTTTGAATATTATATATTTACATCATGGCATGATTCTAGATTTTATCAAATAATTACAAATCATTCATCCAGTATTTCGTTTTTTTTTTTTATTTTTTTGTTTCTCGTTTAAGTAAATAAATTAAGCCGTCTCCTTACATTAAAATAGTTTACTAGTACAATGCTCTAGCTGACAAAAGTTGTATGGAAATTGTTCAAAACTATTTGAACAAAACGCTCGGTGATAATACTATTAACTGTTTGAAGTAATTTTAACGTTAGATTTTTAATTGCACTGATCATAAATTAAATATTCGATCGTAAAAAGTTTTAAGAGTTTTTAAAAAAATGTCAATGTTTTACTTCACATCAGAAAAAAATGTGATTACACTTTATAGCGTGATAATATTGGATTATTATTGATTTGTATTAATCTAACGTGTTTATCGATGATTTAATACGAGCAATTTTAAATGTATACTCTACGTGTATCTTTTTATAACAACATTGTGAGTGAAACGAATTGTTATTATTTTTTTTTTTGTATTCAATCAATCGAATGTGTCACTTATCCTTTAGAGTATATTAGATGTTGTATTAATAAATATTATGAAAATTCAAACAATAAGCCCAGCATAATTGTGTTGGACGCGTCATATTTGAACGTTACGTGTACATCATTAAACACGGTCAGAGATGTTGTTTCTAATGATATTTATTGTTCAGCAGTTTATTTCATACACTGAGTATTTTGTGCTGTGACACCGCGTAGAATGCGTGTACCATAAGTAATACAAATGAAGAATTACAATAATATACATATACCAGCAAAGAGCCGGGTGTAGGTTGTGGATGTGAGTATATAACTGAGAATGAAGTATGATACGTTAAGTGACTGCGACGAGACAAGAGGAAAACAAAACGGTTGGAAGGGCTCATTTAAAATGCATGCGGGTTAAGGTAAAACGGAATAAGAGATGATAGTGTATTGTAATATCATTTTGCATACACGTTTTAATCGTTCGGTGTCAAAGTGACGATTATTCATTTGTGTGTTTCATACGTCAGAGCCGTGGAATTAAAGCGTTGATTAATATTTTTTATTCGTAAATAATATACTAAGAGCCGATTTTCAGGTCTTATAATATTTTTCGCAATTACCGTTTTACATTAAGTGACCCATACACGAAACGATAAGTTGCGATACAGACCAAGCGATACTGAAACATAATCATTGAAACACGTCCATCCACTATGAGATTTGTGTCATGATACTGTATCATAGCCACATGTCTTTTTCTTCTTCTTCTTCTATTT